CTGGCTGTCCATTTCCGGCCTGCGATGCGGATTTCGCCTTCCCATTGTTGCGGGACTTGTTGTTGCTTCGCGGCTGGACAGCAGCCACCTGATCTCCGTCACTTGATGTTGGAGTGGTTGCTGACTTATCTCCACTGTCCTGCTGGACCGCAGCGAAGTGCTGCTGTTGCGGACCAGTTCGTACCTTCTCCACATAGGTCGGCTGCCATGGTGACTTCTCGTGTGCAGCTGACCTGTTGGTCTTGATGATCTCTCTCGCCTTGTCGATAATCTCGGCGAAAGTAGAGTACTGCTCGCGATCACCAAAAGCCTAACTCAATGCAGCGCAGGATCTGTTGTAGAACTCACGTCTGAGACGAGTGAAAGGCAGGTCCAGATTGGGCACTGCCGCAATCTTCTGTCACTCCGTGAGCTAGTCCCGTGTTGCAGTGTTGCCCTGTGACATGGTGAACAAACGGTTGATGGCGAGTGTCGGCGCGTCGTCGACGATGAACCGCTTCTTCCACAGTCGTGTCAGTTCCTCCCATGTGATTTGGTCCTTCAAGTCGGGTACGTAGATGCCGTGGGAGGTTGCCAGGTGGCTCAACCAGGTCTGGCATCCGCCCTTTGAGTTCAGGAATAGGGCGCCGATGTACGCATGCTTGGCTACGGGCAGAATCCTGAGTTGCGTTGTGAATGCTTCCCACCAGAGGACCGGATCCTATTGCGTGTAGTCGTCGAACCTCTCCAGGTTGAAAGTTGGCATCTTATACATCTTTGGATTGCCATCCGCGTTCGTCGCCTGCAGCTGTTGGACCTCGGTCTTCAATGTATGCAGTTGACTGCTGATGGTGGTGGTCGGCGCAGCGAAGGTGCTGATGTCGCTGAGCATTGCCACTACGTGGTCAACACGGTCCTCCAGTTGGCGGCTAGAGGGTGCACTGCTGGAAGCCCCATCAGTTGGTCCTGGTACAGCCTGTTCCAGGTCCAGCAATCGGGCATTGAGTGCTCGAGTTGCATCCTCGTGGCTCTGCACTATGCGGCGGAGATGTGCCAACTCCTGATGCTGTTGCGTCAGGTCCTGGTACTGTCTCTCCAACTCTGACCWTTGGTAGTTGCAAGCATACAACAAACGCGTCACGAGTTTGGAGAGGAACTCCTTGTGCTTCGCTTCCGATGTAATCCGTCGCCGTTCGGTTCAAAATGCCAGTACTTGAGTCTGTCGATGTTGTTGGCTTCAGGCCGCTGCAGCAAATCCTGGGCTTCCTTACGGCGAGCCTAGGCATCTGCGTCTGCATCGGCCTGTAGCTGCAGTTGCTCTGCTGCTGCTGCCTCTTCAGCCTGTACGCGGGCAGCCTCGGCTGCCAGCTGGCGTTGTTCCTCAGCCTCTATCTGAGCCTGGAACCGCTGCTTGTAGGCTGCAAGGGACTCGTTGGGCAGTTGCCCTGGCAGGCGCGTCATGTTGCTGACGTGGCACTTTGTCTGACGTGACACTGTGTTTGACGTGGCACTGTGTCTGACGTGGCACTGCTTATGTGGCACTGCTTACGTCGCACTGTGTCTGACGTGGCACCGCTGATGTGGCACTGCTTACGTGGCACTGTGTCTGACGTTACTGCTGACGTGGCACTGAGTCTGTCGTGGCACTGTGACCTGGCACTACTGACGTGGCACTGCTGATCTGGCACTGTGACGTGGCACTGCTGACGTGGCACTGTGACCAGGCATTGTGACGTGGCACTGCTGACGTGGCACTGCTGATTTAGCACTGTGAAGTAGCGCTGCTAACGTGGCACTATACCGAACCGGAATGCATACAAGGGGTGGGGGAGGGAAAACGTAGGTAGGTAACCAACCAAACAATACTTTTCCTCCGGCCTTAATCAATAGATAAAATAAAAAATAAAAAAATAAAAGAGGACTACTTTTTTTTCTTTTTTTTTGTATGTATCTGTCGATTTATGATGAGTAGGATATGTCAGAAAAGTATTATGAACGAGATCTAGGCTAGGTGCCACAAAGTTATGGCTTTTACAAACTGCGATCTTGAAAAAAAAATTTGCGAAATGGAGTAAGATGCGATTTTCAGAAAAGAACGAAATCCAGTTTCAGAGAATATAGCAACCTCCGAATATGCCTAACGCAATATTGGTAGGCTTCGCAAGATTCGGTTTTCAAAAAAAAATTTGCGAGATAGAATGGAAATGCGATTCTCATAAAAGAATAATTTCAGTTTTCGAGAATATGACCACTTCTATCGTTATCCCAATACGCCTAGAGAACGAAAATACTAACTTCAAAAATTTCAGCTATGTATGCGAAATATGAGAGAAACGAATTGCTACTATCGAGAATTTTCAGACAAAACAAAATGCGATTTATCAGAAATTTTCAGATATTTATCACGTAAAAACGAACTACTAATATCAGAAATTTTCAGATAGAACGAAAATGCGAATATCAGAAATTTCAGATAGTTGTTGCGAGAATTTTTTTTCCAGAGATTTGACTAAGTCCTACTTGCGTTACTAATGAGTGATCAATAGATCGCAAGCTGGCTACTTGATTGAGCGGGTGCTCTGAATGAGAGGTTCGCTCCGATACCAAACTGTTGCATACTGTAACGTGCAGACCAGAACAAGAACCGACCTTTCAATACAAAGTATAAGATAACACAGCGGAAGACTAAGATACCAGTGATCCGAACAATCAATGTTGTAATGCAGTCCTGAACATACATCATCATCATCGTTACATGGTGTGAAATGGGTCTGGCGCTTCACACAGGAAGACTGCGCCAGCCCATACTATACACAGACGAAGAGGAAGGGGATAGACGAAGAGGAGGGGGAAGATGGGAATGTCGTCAACACCAATTCTTCGGCACAAACCCAAATAGTCCCTCGTCGGAATGTCTGAATCCCAAATGTCAAGTCTGGATCCAATGTCGTCAAGTCTCAAGTCACAACTCTGTCTCTCTCTGTCGTAGTCTGAGAAGTCAGGTGGCGAGAGGGTGAGAAGAGAAGGTGGACTTAGAAGAGGAAGGAGAAGAACTCTCTCTCGCTCTCTGTGTCCAGTACTAACCTGTGAAGTTGGCGCCTTGATGCAGGTACCACGAAGATGGAGCTGGAGCGATGGCGCCACAGGTAAGTATCGCTGGCCTCCGCCAGCCTCTCTCTCCCACTCACCTACCAGCGCCCAGCGCTGAAGACTACAGCTACAGCTATGGCGCCCAGCGCCGAAGACTACAGCTAGCGCTAATACCTACTGCCTAGCGCTGAAGACTACTGCAACGCTCCTCCTGAGTGTTGCGGCCGAATCCTGAAGACTACCACTGCCTACTGACACTACCTACCCGTGAAGTGCATGGGAACTTCCTATGTACTACGGGTGTGCCTCCTGAGCCTACCGAAGGGAGGCAGGGGCTGCAGCTGCAGCTCCTGCTCAAACTCGTGAGGAACAGGCTATTTCTGACCTGTTCTGCATCCCTGTTTACGTGCCTGAGTCTTAGGGGCAGGTCGAACCAATGAGGGCCTGAAAATGGCCCTCCGTTTCAGGCTGAAAACTCTGGGTCTGAAAAGACCCTAAAATAGGCTGAAACGGGGTAGGGCCTGCAGGCCCTCGTTTTTCAGCATCCAGGCTGAAACGAACGGGGTCTGTAAGCCCTAAGTTTTAGGCTTTTAGGCTGAATGTCCGGGACAGGCCCTGCAGGGCCCGTGTGGCTACGCAGTATGCCACACCTGCCCGGTACCACTGTCGGTACCAGTCCAGTCCAGT